GATTGCAATGGTTCCACTTCAAACTGGTGGAAACATTGGACTGGTTCACTCGATGGGACCGAGGTGCCGAGACTTCTGAATGCAATCAGTTCAAGAAGCAGAGATAATTTTTTGTGGAAAAGCTGCTTCACGACTGGCTGTGGTGGTTGCAGAGAGTACTGCAGAGATGAATGGGTGGTTTTTGTTGTTTTCACATTACAACCTCATTGTGTGTTAATTCTGATACATACGCATCTCTAAGATCTTTCTATATGAAGCTGTGATGAGTTGCAAAGCTTCTGTGGGTTGAATTGTTATCGTAGTGTGCATGTGGGAATTCCACCTACATCGCTTTTAAACTTAATTTATAACTTGACTTCTGCAGCAGTGATTCATGACTTTCACATCGACCCAAATCCAGAAAGCTGAAGAGCCAGCTTTCAAAAGACTTCACCTTCTTAAACGTGGTTATTTAGGATGAGGATGAAGTCCAACGGCAGGCTGTCTTTGAGGAAGTATTGCTGTTCAGTGTGAAACAAAGGAGGAAATACAACATATCCCAAGTGAAATACTGCACCGATCTGATATAACTGGAATTTGTGACGCTCCTCGACTGGCTTGTGTAAGAATCAGGGTGTTAAAAAAGCCCTGCCGTGGAGTGCATTGTGTTCGCTTGCTGGTTGTGTTGGTTTGCCGTCCTGGATCAAAGTCCCGGGTTGCTTTCATGCCCCAGTCTGTCCCCGTTGTGCTCCTGTAGAATTGTCTGGCTCACAATGGACAATTAAAAAAAAGATTAAAATTGATGCAGCAGAAGCAGAGATATTGTCTTTTTTATGCCACACATCCTTCTTCCTTGGATTACATTGCATTACCCACAATGCAGCTGGACACGTCGATCACAGATTTGGGTGGAATACGTTCGTGGAGGCTAATGTGGCCGTGAGGGACCAGCTTCAAGTAGAGATGAGGAGATGTGCTGAGCTTTCTAGCTCCACACATTCTTTATATTGTCGTCTTTAGATTCCACTGCTTCAAACTTATGTCACTGGAGGCAATTTATTATTTTTAATTACTTTTTTCACATAAGCAGCAGCAGAACTCCCCAACACCTGTAAGCAAATGTAGATGTAAATAAATAAAAAACAAAAGGTGGCACAAGTGTTTCTGGGAACACCTTTCCTGTAGTACACCTCATTAGTTGCAGATATAACTCCACTCCCCCACAAGGGTTTCTAAGATTTATGCTCTCTAAGCTGAAATAACCTGATTCCTGTTGGTTTATTAAGGTGGATGTGGCAAAACAGCAGGTGACGAGTGAAGGTGTTGCTCTGTGTTGATGCTGCAATAATCATCAGTCATTAAAACTAATGAAGACCTTGATGTGACTCGTGTCAGAGCTGATAAACAAAGCGTGAGAACTTCCAGAACAACGGCGGCCCGGCTCGTGTTGGATGGTGACACCGTTAGAGGCTAATAGGGGTTGGTGGAGGGGTGGGGTCCTGATTACCTTCAGAAACAGGAGGTGAACGAGGGGACGAGTTAGCGGCGTGGCTTTTTGCGTCGGGGAGCTGCGGGGATTTAATGGAAACGTGGTCTTAATTTTGAAAAACATTAGCACTAATCAAAGCACTTTGAGAGATGGAGGCTACCTGTCATCGCTGCCATGATCTCATTTGTTACGGTGATTATATTAAGGCATCACAGTTAATTTGACAATGATATATAATGATGGTTTAAAATGAAATACCCATTACTCCTTTAAGCAAACACACACACACACACACTGGATAAGCAAAAGAAAAAAAAAAAAGCAGCAACACACTGAAATGTGATGAATCAAAAGCACCATAAAGACATACAAGGCTGCAGAGTGGAGCTCCTCTTATTTACTCTCCCCAAGGCAGAGTATAAGCAAGTACACTTAACTTTTAATACTTCTCTCGTTTATGCTAAACTCTATAAGTGCTGGGTTTTTTTTTTTCTTCCCGAGAACCAGGCTGAAGAACAGATCCATTAAGAATAAATTTAAAAGAGCAGCGATGAATATGGAAAAACATCCGTTGCACATTGCTTATGACTTCAGTAAAATGAAGCTCATTTAGCTGCACACAGTCATTTTACAGCTCTGTAAAGCCAGCCTTCCACTCCGGACTGTTTCTCACTTACGCCGCACAGATTTGGGTTTTATGCCGCTCACTGCAGAGTAAAAATGTTCCACAAAACAACGTGCTTAATATATTTTAAATCAACTCGCCAATCCGCTTTAGTTTTTCCGACGCACAGCAGTTTGTGTGAGGAAAGCTCCCAGTCGACAGCCTTGTTCCAGATCGGAGGCAACAATAAGTTTAACGAGAGATTAAAGCTTTGTGTAGAGTTTAACTAAAAGCCATGTTAAGCATTATGAATTCTCCCCACAATCTAAACATGCTTTTAAAAACTCCTTATTGCTGAAATGTCTTGCGAGCGTCTCCCAGATGAAAATCCTGCCAGTCCTGGAGACGGGTCCAGTTCCAGAACAAAAGGACTCGGAGTTGAAATTCAGGCAGACCTGCGAAGGCTTTTCCTTCCTGAGCTCATCTCGTAGAAGTTGCAGGCCTCGTGGCGGCAGGACTGTGATGGTGTTTTGCAGATGCTCAAACCGAGACAGAAAAGTTTTGTGTCTTTAAAATGACTTTGCTGAAGGCAGAGTCGCTGTCAGCAAAGTCGTCGTGTCTGCAGCTCTGGAGGCTTTTTGTTGATTCTAGTGTTTGACTTCGGCCTCAACAACCGTTTTTGAATATCAGCATAACGATATCTGGTCATGAAGCAAACACTGATGCACTGAAGTTGTCCGGCTGCACTTAGAGGCACCTGAGCCAAGTTGCTCAGAACAACTGGATGCACCAAATCCAGCTGTTGTTCTACATACACACCACTTGCTTGGTCTCCTTTGTGGTGACTCAAATCCCACACACAATGTGGTCGATGCACACAATAACAACACACACACACACCTCATCGGGTGTCCTTGTAGTGACGTACACATTAGTACGACAACCGGATGGTGGAACGTATTCTCTGCCACTAGAAATGCGAACAAAGACGGTCTGTTTGTCCTTCGTTTTACACATGTGAAGCATCCTCAGACTCCATACTGGCACACTGGGACTAAGAAAGGTCACATTTCCTGGCAAAGAAGTGACTTGACGGCTGCTTGTCTGAAGCATGAATTACACAGGATGACTGAATGGACTCTCACACCTTTATGGATGAATGAGGATCTCAGGAGCTTCCTATAAAGTGTGAGGTTAAACAAACCGTGTGTGATTTATGTTAAAAAACACAGAAACATGTTCTATGTTGTGTCTCATGTAGAGGTAGACTCCTACAGCATCATGTCTTTTTGCTATTGAAATGTAAAGAGTACATTTTCAGACTGCTTTGACTGATGTAAGCCCACTTGAGGAAGCCTTGTTCACTTCTAGATATAGTTATGCACACATGTTTTAGGTGGGATTAATTATCCTGGAAATGTGTTGTATCAAAATCTGAGCTTGTGGGACCCCAGGAGACATTTGTGCTGTAAAGTCATGCTGCGTCTTGTAAAATGTACTTCTGACTTGAGGGATTGTCTTGGAGATGCTTTGGGAGAATCTTGTCGGACACATCTCTAACACAGCTGTGGTCTACCAGGACATGATAAGTGCTATTATGGGCTGTATTTAAGCACTGCGCCGCTTTGTGATGGTCAAACTGACGATGCTATGAACTCAGCAGGAGCTCCCATCACCCATAGACTGTACAAAAGATGGACGTAGCTACCGTGACGTCACCCGTTGGTTTCTGCACTGAGAACATGAAGCCAGGGTTTTGCTACTTCCTGGTTGACATCTTGGATTTTTGGAGCCAGTGACGCAAGAATTGTGGGAGGGGGGGCGGAGCCATAGGAGCAGCGATTGGTCAGACGGATCGAGAGGCGGGCCCACTCTGCCCCGCCCACATTTACCGCCTTCTGCTCGCTCCGTCTGCATCGTCGCTGCCGACTGTCAATCAAGTCAGCCACGCCCCTTGACCCGCAAAATGTTGACGATTTTTTACAAATTCAGTATTGATTTATTTTCAGATTGGTCACCTGATCTCTGGATTTGACCATGAAAACTAATAAGAACAAAATCCTGAGCTGTAGGAATGCAGTATTTGGTGATCTGTGATCACTTCTTTTCCAGTTCCAGTCTATGGGAGCCAGGGCTTTGTGGAGCCAGCAGCTAGTGGACGTAGTGATGCTGCAGGTTTTTGACACTTCCGGGTTGGCTTCATTTTTCAGGGCCGGTTGCTACGTCCATCTTTTACACAGTCAATGCCATCACCTCTCACTATTAAATGATTTATTGTTCAGCATCTATGTGTGGGTGTAATACATGTTTTTGCACCCCTCCCCCCAAAGAACTGGGAGGTTCGTCAGCGACACACGTTTAGGACCCTGAACGTGAAGCAGCTAAATGGAATTCAGCCATCATCAGTTTTATTTACACCTGCGCTTCTCCTAATGTGAATAATCAAAAATGTCTTCGGTGAGAAAGGCCTGTTGATCAAAACAAGAATCGTCCAATCCTCCCTAATGAGCTGCCTCATATTAACCGTAATTGTCTAAATTAATTTCAGGTGTTTGGCTTTTTCACTGATGGGAAACCTCGGCAACAATGGAAACGTGCTGAAGCTGAAATACAGAAGCCAACTGCACAGGATGCTCGAGGAGAAAGTTGGACTCACCGATGATGATTAACTTTATCACTTCCCCAACCGGACAATAAGAAGCCGTCTTGTTTACTGACATGCTGTTAGCTGATTTTTTTTTTTTAGCTTTCGGGGTCTCAAAATTTCAAACGTTGCAATTCGTGGCCGTCGATGTGCCCAAACTGTTCGGCACAAACTGTTTTCATTAAGAGGCACAATGGGCGGACTGGGCCCTGCAATACATTTTAATGAGTCGCTTTAAAAAGCTATTTGGGTCGAAGCTGACCTTGACCTTTTCTCCGCTCCAGGTAACATCCGGAACACAGAGAAGCTGAGCTACGACCGGCAGCAGCAGTACGAGATCCAGGTGACGGCGTGGGACTGCGGCCAGAAGAGAGCCTTGCACAGCGTCCCCGTTCGCATTGACGTCAAGCCTGTCTGCAAGCCTGGCTGGCAAGGTTAGCCTCCGTCATAGCTGTTTGTGTGCAGAGACTTCAGGCAGGTCTCACTGTGCAATGTTTATACATCCAGAAATGGAGATGCAGTTGCCTGTGTGAGATTATGTCGGTGTGTGCAGTGCGTGTGTGTCTCTATGTTCACAGATGTGCTTGTTTGTATGTGATTACTTTACTGTGCGTTCCTGCTTCCTCTGAATGCTTAATTTTTCTCCATTTGTGCTTGTCATAGTGTCTGTGTTTCTCATCTCTCCTCACTTACCTTTCTACTCTCCTGTTTTTCTCTTTTTTTTTCCACATTTCTTACGCTCTCTCTCCCTCCCCATCGCTCTCTCCTTCCCTCCCTGAGGAATTACCCTGTCAAGTTTAGCTGGTGTGATCAACAACACTTTACTAAGAGCACCTTGACTCAACCAATGCAGCTCCAAGCACATCAGAAAACAGTCGTGGCAGCAGTAATAAGGCCCAAAGTAATGCAAAGACAAGTATCTGAGTGATGCAACAACAACAACAACAGCAACACTCAAGATAACTGCAGACACAATTTACACTTGTCAGAGGGCAGCGCACATGTGATGAAAGACGAACACATGCTGCGTGCAGCTTCACATGCAACCATGTGCAATCTGTGTTGTTCTGTCATTAACAAGGTGATTCATGTGCTCTTTGGCGTCCAGCCATTTATCGTCCCACAGGACGCAATGTTAGCAGGCTGGTGATAAACAGCAGTAAATGAGGACCCTGGCAGCAGCTCAGTGGCAGCCACTGAACCCTGCAAAAACTGTTAACTTGTTTGGCTCATATTCAATCTTCCAATCTATGATTTCTCAAAAGAAGTGGCACGCCGGTGGTTTTGGATAATTTTATATGTTTCTGATCTGAACCAAATTTCCAATAAAAAGTCAGGATATTAAATTATACCAGAAAACGCTAAATCAATTTATTTTCCATCAAGAACATCAATTCTTTAAAGGATGTCTTAGTTTTACTACGGTCTGGTTTAAATAATTTCTGAAGACGGGTACTTTTTGCAGTGCAGTAACAACGTTACCAGACTGGGGTCTGATTTTAGGATTAAGAGGAATTAAGGTCAATAACTCAAACAAGTAAAAGAAGATGTGAAGAAAATAGTTTTCAAAGAGCTTCAAAAAAGAAAGTTTTATCTTTACTTGTAAATTCCAAACCAATACATGCAAATAGGACAAAGTCATTTTAGCAGCACTTGGCAACGTGCTGTGTCGTGTGTTTTAATGCAAAGTAGCACAGCTACAAAGAACAGCGATGGCAAATAGAATCACAGACTCCATTATGTACAGTAAAAGCATGCCAGACCTACAAATGCACAACAGAGCAGGTCACAAGAAGGAAAACTTGCATGTTATACAAGCACAGTAACAGACACAATTATACACACAAATCTTATATTACTCACATTGAAACACTATTTTTTATGTGTATACATTCTATACGCGCTGACTGTGGACATGTGTAATTTCAGTGTCTGCACACAGACATCAGCAGTCAGAGCTGTTGCTGGTGTTCAGAGTAATTCCTGCTCTCTCTCGGTTCTCAGCAATAATCCTGTCTTTGAAGCCTGGCCGTAATGTTTTTTGCGTGCGCCTTTTTTTAGCTCAAAGTTGAAAAGATGCATACACACAAATACACACAGGCACAGATACACTCCCCTTGATGAAAGGGCAGTTGTCGCCATGGGCGTTGTTTGGCTGTAGGGATGAAGGGAAGGATGGAGAGGGAGAAGTAAATGCCACGGCCAGAGATCAGGGGATATTTAATAGGCCTAGTGGTTGTTGTATTAAAGACAGGCTACTGTGGGAATGTCAGAGACACACACACACACACACTCGGGCTCAAAAGATGTGCTTTCTTGCAGTTAAAAAACTGTAATCTGTCTGTTCAAATTAGATATGGTCTGTGACTCTGGACAGCAGCTGGGAGTTTCTCTACCAATCACAGGTTCTCACTTGTTCCTGGAGTCTCCGTGACTGATGGGTAGTGAATGTGCACACACACTCACACTCAGAGGAGTGTGTGGGCAGTCGCTTCAGCTGCAGCAGGCAACTGTTTTCAGCTACTTAGTGATTAGCTGATGAACATAGTGAAGCGTTCAGCAGCTAAAGAAAGAGGTATTTCCCAAAAGAGCTGGTAGTAACCGAAAATTGCGCTGAAGGAGATCGAATATTTGACTTGCATTGATCTGGTGTTAGCAAGAGTTTGAAAAGAGACCCAAGTGCAGGATAAAGGCAGGACGAGTAAACAAAAAGAAAACTTTAATAAAAGTTATGGGTGGTGATAATGGAAGGTGGCAGAAAAGCAAGCCATAACGAGTGTCACTGGAGAGTCTGGGTTTTAAAAAAAAAAAGAATCAGACCAAATGAAGTCCAAAAGTAAACTGCAAAACCAGATAAATCCAAAAGTGAAAGTAACAACACCAGTGAGGAGGCACTCAGGGAAGGATACAGGGTTCACAGGCAAAGAAAGAGAGACTCGACTAAATGAACATACAGGGGCTGATTGGATGTGAAAAGTGAAGCCAACACAGAAGTAGTGACCCAACCCTGCATTACGTCCAACAGCCAGCAGAGGGCGACACATTTGGTTGCAAAAACACGTCAATTGTTTAGAAGTCTACGAGAAAATTGCATAAGACCGATGTCCATCAGCAATCAAAAAGGCGGGAAAACACAAATCAAAAAGGCGGGAAAACACAAACAGGGAGAAAGCCAAAAATACTGAAAACGCTACATTCAAAATTCAAAACTGCTTCAAAATTAAACAGAAATTAACTAAAAAGAAGGACACAGACCACACACATGAACAGAGGAAGACACAGACATGGACGAGGGAAAACATCTGATGGACAGTGTCATGTCTGCAAATCAATGATAGTGCTGGTCCATCACTGCAGCTAGCACGTTAAGCACATGAACCTAAGAGGTGATGCATCAGTGTTGTGTTCACAGCTTGTTTCTGATGGCCCCCCATGTGACCAACTGAAGATTTAAACTTAAAGAGTTGACATGTGGTGTTTTCGGTCTTTGGATATAAGACATTCTTGACCAATCCAGGGTCGATCAGATCCTTCTTTTGATCATTGTGCGTTTTTAGCAGCCTTTATTGGCGGTTCTCTTCCAGTGGACTCCTGTGGTGCCAGGCAGCCTGAAGGCCCTGCATATGGTCACCAAAGGTCCCTCAATCAGCAGGCCTCAATCAGCACACACTGCGTACACATTGCTTGGCATCAGTACTTCCCTACCAAGTCTGCGTGCTTGGCTCTCCGGAGGGCTCCTCCATCTGGTCTTCTCAGTACACAGTGTCTTCCAGCAGGGCCCTTTGCCTTTTTGTTTCAAACATCAGGATGATGTCCAGCTTGACTGTGGTGCCTGTGATGATGTCTGGGAAGCAACATGAGTCTTCAGCTCCCAAACAGTGGCAACAAGCCCACCGGATGACCTTGTGTGTTGCTGAAGTTAGTTATTTTCCTTAACAAAAAGTCTGTCACCTTCCTCACTGGGTCTCTGTTCAGATGGCAACCCCCGCTGCACCATTCGGCACCTGGTCCAGGATGTTAGCGCCACTCCCTCAGATCCTTTCAACAGCCTCTCAAGACATGCTCCAGGGATTGTGTGCTCTCATCAATGCTTCTGCCAGACCTCAGTGGAAAAGGCTGCATAGGCTTGGGAGGATGTTGCAAACCAACTGGATTGGGAACATAATCCAACACGGCCCGGCCTTCTAGACTTCTAAACCAGTGATCTCGTAATCAGTGGTTTGCTCGGATCACGTCCACGCACCCCGCTGCTGCTTCCCCGCCGTCTTGCTAACCCTGCTGTACCTCTTCCTGGACCACATGACGGCTCTCCGTCCTCTGAACTCCTTTGTAGTGGTGCCCTGGAAGGCTGCCAGTCCTTGCCCACCCTGATGCCAGTGCTCACTGCTGTGGTTCAGCCAGTATGTCACTTTGCTTCTTTATTTTTTTCAAAGCCTTTCAGTCCTTTCAGTAACAGGAAGCTACATTGTCACCAACTTTTTTTTCTCTTCAAGCCCAATACAATTGAAAACTTTTCAGACTATTATAGTCCATCTCATATCTCGTCTCTTCATCTCCCTGCTGTCCACATAGAAACACGACATGCGAACACACACACACGAGAAAAACTAATAATGGAATGAGCCGCTGTCGAGGCTCTCCTCTTCATTTGACAGGATGGTTATCAGCTTTATTTGCTGTAATACAGTTTGTCTCTAACACCACAATAGACCCTTGGACAGAAAGCTTTATACAGTCAATCTTACAGCCTAGAAGCCTGAGACTAGCAGTTTGAGAAAAAGCAAAGAAAAGGCTTCATGTTTCTGTATTTGTGCTTCCTGGGATAAAGTTTGAACACAGAAACAGTCAACAGCACTTTTACAATGACGTTAGAGGGAACTTAACCTCCAAATCTTTACCAAGGTCGCTGAAATGAAATAAACAACCCATTCACGATCGCAGTGCAGCGCGACATTGTTATATCTAAAACTAACAATGTCATAAAAGAACATTCACATTGACTGAAAGGCGGATGCTCTTTTGTCGCACTTTCCCTTCATTGTTAGGCATTTGTAAATCCAAAAAAGGGTTGCCTAAGTAACCACTGCTCTGTCTACAGTCTGGTTTTATTCAAAACAACAATGCGACAGGTTATCTTAACCTTTGCCTGATTGCTTTTGTTAGAAACTCAGCGGAATGCAAACATGCTGGCATTTATTCGCATCCATCTAAGTTTAGTGAGTTGACAGACTTTCATTTGCTAGTAAGGACTAATAAAGTCCTCACGGGCAAGTCTACAGCGTTGTCGGTAACTATTGAAATAAATAGTGAGACGTGACGACGTGTTGCTGTTTTTGGTGGTTTTGAATTCTCTATTTCTGTTTCTTTGAAAAGCCTGTGTTGCTTTTTGGGGTTTTCCTTTTCATTTGGGGGGTTTTATGGCAGTTTTTTGTGC